AACACAAAATCTCAAAACTGATTTTCTGCGCGGACACTGCTTTTGAGAACGTCAGAACCTCTCCAAAGTTGCTATCGTAATTCCACAACAAAAAACGAGCAAGTAATTTTTGTTTGCAACTTTATGTTGGAGCCATCTTTACAGATACATCTTAGCCATCTTTACAGATATATTACCCGTGGACAAACTAAAACTATAAATCAAGAAAGTTATCAACAGTTTAGTTATCAACGAAAATCAACATCTTTATATGAAGCTCTATGCTGTCTTCATCGTTTTAAAGGGAGACCATATCTCACAGATTTTCTCAGTTCAGGTACCTTTTGTGGTGTTGGCGGATCACGAAAGCCGCAGTATTGTGATAACCATACGCGGTTCATGTTCACTTGTGGATCTCGTTACAGATTTATGCTTAGGTATGGTGCTCACTCAGTATATTGTTAGGAGACAAATATAGTTTAGACGACGAGGTACTGTCGGTAGATGTCGATGCTGATCCTCTTCTACGGACTGATCCCAGCTTAGATGGAGAGGGCGAAGTTCGCGTACACCGTGGTATGCTAATGAGCGCTCGCTATGTTTACGATACACTCAGGTGCGTTTTGGATGCCCTTGTACTTGCACTCCTCGTCTAGTTCTTTTCTTTTTTATAGGAAACATCAAGTTCTTGAAGATCTCGCTGTATTGAACACGGGTTATCAGCTGGTCGTTTGTGGTCATTCATTAGGTGCAGGAGTTGCTTCACTTGTGACTTTGTTACTCAAGTACGTGTATTTAATAATTGCTCCCACAGTTTCTGATCAGTGTAAGTTCAGGCAGGATTATCCGAATGTGAGATGCTTTGCATTCGCGCCACCCGGTTGTGTTATCACCGAAAATGGATTGCATGAGTTGGAAGAACATGTATTCGGAATAGTCGCTGGAGATGACCTAGTATCTAGGATATCTTTCCATGTCAGTGTTTTTTTCTTTTGCTCTTCATATCTCAACAAATATTTGCTTTTGCGTACGGGTTCGTGAGCCTGGGACGATCTGTTTTTTTTTTTGACATTTTCCGTCAAAAAAGATGCAATTGAAATTTTTGTATTACGAATTCTCTTCCTTTTAGGCCTTGCATCGTTTACGGGTGAAAGTCGCAGCAGAGTTGGATGCATGTACAAAAGCTAAATACGAGATTCTGATCCGAGGAATTTTTCGACTATTCTTCACCACTGCTTGGGAAAGTGGTCCACTATCCGGTGAAAGTGAGTTGCCCTCGCTTTGTGAGCGTTATCGTAAGGACTGTCTTATACGTAATATGTTGATTTTGCAAGCATTTAAAAAAAAGCTGTCTGTTTTTCATCTCGCATTGTTCTTTCCTCTCAGATCACCATTATACGAAAACTCAACAAGCCTTTTGACGAATTCACTGTGGCGCTGGAACTTTTTCTGATTTTTATGCGCTCTTCTCTTAATTGATGCCATTTGCTCATGATAATTACTTTGTAAACACCGCTGGTTTTCATTCCCATCTTTCAGAAATGCAAAGTTTGATGTCAGCAATGAATATTACCAAATTTCCACGTTTTATAGCTTCCCTGCAGCTATAAACCTTAGAAGGAGGCTGGAGTAGCGAAAATGTTTTTGAACCTCTGCGTTTTTACGAGGCTGTTTCGAGAATGATTTGAGAATTGACGCTTTGAGAGAGGTAGGAAATAGTTATCGCGCGGTCTTGCTCGATCAGTGATTGCTGCCCTTTGGAATGTAATGTTCGACTGAACCGTAGATCAGCCGAGCCTTCTTTCAAG